ATTTCGCCATCCCCTTTCTATCATCAGGGGACTAGACGTAGACTAGGGTTTTACTCCAATATTATAGATATACCTAAGATTAACTCGAAGCGGTACGCTTCCACATTAATTATATGGCGTACGGCATTGAAGTGGAATTTCCTGCCTGTAGATTTGTTCCCTGGACGCCACAACTTGGACCTTTTCAAAGCGAGAGTAAGCGTTAGGCACGTAGGCACTTTCCAACAGGAGAGATGGAGGTCAAATGAGCACTTATTTTAGCGATAAAGGAAAAAAACAAAAGAACTTATCCAGGTGACACTGTGAAGTGCGCTTAGACCTTTCAATTACGTTTAACGGCATTCATGGTGAACTATATTAAATAACCGGCTAATATTATAATGAAAATAACGGTGGACAAGAGGGCAGTCACGTAGGTTATTCTTCTACAACGACAAGGCCCTTATTACGAACACACGATGGCCCTTATTTGCTTATGCAGCAACGGCTTCAAAACCGACACAATGATGAAAATACTATATTAATGAAAGTAGAATTAATGAATAGATTAAATGAAGTAGAAAGTAGAATCAACCGAATCGTAGACCTATTAGTTCTGTCTAATGTATATAATTCGATTTCGCTATATGATTATACTTATGGTTTATAAGCGGTTACATCGATGCAGACGCGCGATCTATTTAATTCGTCGACGTCGGTGGCTCAGCGGTCAGGCGCTAGGTGAGTTCAATTCCCGGTTAAACCAATTTGGGAAAATAACTTTTCTAAATTGGTCCTGGATGAGTTCCGTTGCTCTGGTACTCATAGTACAGGGAATTGCCTAGTTTGAGACCATGGTGTGTTTGTCTGGCACTAGTACTTAGAATTACAGTTATAATAAATTCTTTTGTACAAACTTTGTATGTACTTATTATTTGGTTTTCTTTCTCAAAAGTGAGTCATACACGGTAACATAATTAACATCTATTCAAGTTTGTGAGATTGCTATCCGTTAAGGCAGCTAATGCCTCTATAACAGCTTGCCGGTTACCATGAGTGTGTTGACACTTAAAACCGTTTTTTTTGTTTGTTTACAAGTCGATGAAATGTAGGCATTACTTAGTGTTATCATCGTCCGAAACCAGAAAGATACAGTTTGTCAACATTTTTGTTTACAGTGTGAGAACGTAAACATGTTATCTTGGATTTCTATGGACTTTTGTAGTAAACAGAATTTTATTATTTTTACTTTTTTATGATACCAAGTAACGGAACGAACAAGTCGTGCGCCTGATTTTAAGCGACACCACATCCATAACAGTTGCAGTGCCACTCTGAGCTTTAAATCGCAAAGATCTGAGGGGTACTGCCACAGCGCCCATCACCCTGAGACATAAGTTGACAAGTCCCATGTGCGTGTAATTTTACCAACATCCTTACCCGTCGAAACCGGAACGCGGTAATGCTCATATTACTGCTTGACTGCAGAAATAGGTAAGATAGTACTTCCCTGTACGAATTCATCCACAAAGAGCTCTACTGCTAATAAACAAAGTGTACCGAAACAAAGGGAATACACGAATCTACATATAAGTAATAGATGTACCTAAATGGAATATAACATATTAATTTTAAGAAATTTTATAAAATAATATTGATTTATAATAATTAAAGAATTAAAATTATAAAACTTCAGAGAACATTCAAAGTATAATATCCAAATTAACATTAATAAAATCACCTTTAGCATATACCAGTCCAAATTCTTTTGTACCTGTTCGGAGTCTATTTTATTTCAAACTTAGAAATTAAAACAAGTACATATCTAACAAAAAGAATTATTGAAATTGTGTCGATTGATTTACTTGACTGCCTCTGTGGCCGAACGGTTACCATGCTGGTCAGCCACGCAGAGGTCCCGGGTTCGATTCCCGCGACGGGAGAAATATTTGTATGGCCAACATTTATTTCTCTCTTGAGTTTGGGCGTAATTTGTGGTTGTGGTTTTTGGCTCATATCTAAACCCACTTAATTTGAATTATATCTTGTGCCCGCAACGTTTTGCCAATTTAATAATAATTAGGACGATTATTTGACAATAATATTTAACAAAATGTTAACGATCTCGAGTACTTTGATCTTGCTCGCGTCCCAGTCACGATGCGCGGCTCATCAATTTTCTTACTACGAGAGTACAAATTGAAATAAAACTATTTATTATTTACAAATATATTAAAATTATATTTGTATTTTCAAACAAACCAGCACGTAGTTCCATAGGTCGAGGCTGACTGGTAATTTACATAATAATGAAAATGTTCCATTTGAACTCAATATGCAAGAGTTCCAGATAGAAAATGGCTTATTTTTCTTTTGTTCTGTATTAAGCATATTTAGTAAAATACTTCTTTTATTTAATGCCATCTTAATTAACACAATCATAAACTCCATCGTCCCACTGCTGGGCACTGGTCTCCCCTAAAGAGATTATATTGTATTTAATCGTGTATTGTACAGAAACAACAAAAACACATTTAGCAACAAGGAAAACACAAACTATAAAATGGATGTGCCAGTGGATAAATAGTGCGCCTTAACTCTCATTTTGAAAATTGCTAAGGATTTACTATCACGAACAGTAATGGGAAGTGCGTTGCAAAGTCTGACCGCATGGACAGTGAAGGACTTAGAATAAAAACCGGAATTGAGGGATGGAAAAGATAAATGGGACCTAACGAAAGAGCGACAGGGCTAATCCTGGGAGCTGATAAAGCTGAATCGTTCTTTCAGATACCCGGGAGACATAGGGTTGTGCAGAATATTATAGAGAACGAAAACAGTATCCAAATTCCTTCAGAGACGAATGGCTCTTTTAGACTTTAATCCTCCACTCTGGCCCAGTGAACTTTTTTCACAAGGTATTTTTACTAAATATTCCCAAATGTACGTAACTTAAATTAAAACCTTATACATACCGCCACAGATGTTCAACCGTCGACTTCTCGAATGAACTGTCCTCCTACTAGGCTACTTGTAATTAAAATTTAACACGCGAACTAATTAAACTTAAATGCACGATCACCATGATAATAAAGCAACACACTCATAGCCCCGCACTAACCCTGTATCGCGGGTGCTATGAACACACACATAGACAAGCACAAATTACACCCAAACTCACGAGAGAAATATATATAGGCCATACACATATTTCTCCCGGCCTGGGAATCGAACCCAGGCCTTCTACGTGGAAGTCCAGCATGGTAGCCGTTCGGCCAAGGATGCAGCATAAGAGCCTGTAGTAAAGAAGTTGACAACAATGTAGAGTCAAGTGGAATAATAAGACAGCTGTTCAATTAAAGATTCGAAGACGCAATGCAGCTGTGTAATATTACTGTCTAGAAACAAGCGTACTACATAAATTTAATATAAATAGCTACATAACGTAGTACGTAGTATTGCGTACGTAGTATACGTAGTATTTAATTCCTATCCCCTCTTTTCCGCAACTCTTCTACAAATTTCACTTCGTTTATTCAAACTTCTACACATTAAAAATAACAATCTACGCTTACATGTCTAATAGGTTACTATAGATGCACTGTATACATTATATAAATAATAGTTTTAGTCACAATTATGTCTTATTTTTTGTTTGCAAACAACTTTTACATTTAGTCCCTTTGTTGGTCTGGACAAGCGGTGGAAGTGATACCTAATTATTTCACGATAACTATCTTGATAAATATAAAATTAATTGGAACAACAAAATGCCACTGTCGTGTAATGTCGTGTCTTCTTCTTCTTCTTTTAAATGTTATGGCTCCATCGAAATAATCAATGATTTTGCCAATGTCAAGTATATGTGTTTGTATCTCAATCAGAGATGTGTCCAAACGTGTCAAATGTCAATCTTAAAAAGTCACAAATGAAATCGTTCCCTAAAGCTATTAAGCCTTTTTAAAGCCTTACAGCCAATCGATTTTATATTTCGTGTTTATTTAATTTTCTCACAGTTCGTCGTTTATAGTCAAACAATAAAATGAGACAAAACTATGGATCAGATGGATTATCAAAGAAAATAAATGCTCGTTATAGTAGTTATTTCGCCCTGTGTTTAAGTCTGCAGGAAATTTCTTATAGAATTTCGTTTGCGATATACCAAATCGCCTTATTTTCTCAAACTCGTATCTTAATAAAGCACAAAATTACTGAAATGTATATACAAATTTTGCGGGTTAATTTCACATCACGCTTCCTCCAAATTCACACACTGGCTGTTACCTATTCTTAAAGTAATGCATCCAAATTAGCACCCTTGAGTTTTGCCATCTTCTGAATAATCACTCTTTATAAGATACGAGTTTGAGTAAGTAAGGCATCGATATGCTGCTTTCCTTGACGTAACAAACAGTTATGTTTTTTCTTTTGTGTTTAATTTGTACATAAGTCATAATACCTAATGAATAAGTGTTTATCTATCTGCCTACCTATCCTAACACTGATGACTATTCATATTCGTCGGAGCTCTTAGCAGTAGCCACACGGAATGTTAAAATAGTACATAGCATAGGTATTGAGCAAAAGGATAAATATTGTATTAACAGGTACATTAAATAAGATACCACTTAAAGGTATACTTTTCAGGGTATGTGGTGCACCTAGTTTCAGGTTTTTACCTCATTTAATTTTCGAAACCCTCCGTCCTGAGCCGCAAGCAAAAGCTTTTCGACCTTGAACCTTAAAAAAATGTTATAAAAAAGAAATGTAAATGTCAGGAGGGCTTCCACGTATTTTTACCATTTTATCTTGAGCTATAAAAGCTGATTGTAACACCTAAAACGTAACTAAACAAGGTTCAATTGATAATTGTTGCAGTGGAGTATAGATGAATCACAGCGCGAACGCACGCGCTTGCGCAAGATATATAAAGGTATAGCGAGCAAAGGCTGGCACAGTCGAAAGCTCGAGACTGAACAAGAGTCGTCTTTTATTCGAAAATAAAAATAAAATAGTTCTTAAGCAAATTAACAGAATGCGTGTCCAGTATTGTCTCTTAGCCGCCGTTTGCTGCATCGCCCAAACATGGGCTGGAGCGTTGCGTGAGTTTTTATTTTTGTTTTGTTTGTAATTACTTTCTTTTTAATTTTTATTTTTATTTCCTTTTCAATATTTAAAAATAACTGATTTATTTTAATAAAAAAAATAGTATACAATATATATTGTTTTTGTAAATTCATTTCAAAGTGACAGTAAAGAATTGCAAGAAATTATTGCTTTCATACAATTTTGCGATATTATGGGTCTACAGTTCGTAGATTGTCATCTATATATTAATACTTAATACATACTTCTTTTAAAATTGAAACAACAATAAAAATATTTAAATTCGCAAGTTGTAAGTATGTATAAAGTGTGTCCAAATCTCTTGATTATTATTAACAATAATTATAATAATGTATCAGACAACTACATCCATTGCCTGGTATCAAACGAGGAAATTCCCTGTACTATGAGTACCAGAGCAACGGCATTCACCTGTGGCACTCCCAGAACACCCAGACTAGGACCAATTTAGAAAAGTTCATTTCCCAAATAGGTCCTATCGGGAGTTGAACCCGGGACCACAGAGGTCGTATAATTGAATGATGTGCTCGATGGTACATAAATTTAATTACTACAACTACGTACTATTACTAACTCACCTTGTCAAGTTATCCCTCAATAGTTGTAAGTCATCCCTCAATAAAATGACATCTGGCAACTAAATTACTACAATCGCAACAATCAAATGTAAAAACGAAAATAACTATTATCATATAGTGTAACGATCTTGGAAGTAGCAAACATAAATTGACATGTATAACTTTTTGAGTCGAAAAAGGCGTGACAGCCAGAAACAGGGGCGTTTGGCTGTTCATCGCGGCGTGCCGGTCCCAACCCTGAGGCACGCTAATAAATGTTGGGTATGGTAGAAAAAGTATGGAAGTAGGGCTAATGCTATAGAAATTGATCTTCGCATAGTATGTGGGTGTTACCACTGAATGACAGAATGCGGAGTGTGTAGTAAGATAACGTGGTGTGAAAGAAAGATGTTCTCGCTCCCATTAATAACACTACATCTGGAAAATTACAACTTTTTAGGAGAAAATTTTAATTAACGATATAAATTATCCGGTAACTTTTTATGTTTAAATACGAGAGTTATAAAATTTAAATTTAATTCCATGTAATTCGTACCTATTGTTTTAATGTGCATGTAATTAAAACATTTTTGACATAAGATCCCATTGACTTTAAGTATAATACAAAAGGTATGCTGTAGTGACCATGGTTAAAAAAGATGGACGTCAATAGACTGATGGCATATCTTTATAGAGCGAATGTGGACGAAGACGTGGGGAGAGGCAGACCTTGATATAATACGTGGATCAGATAGGGAATGCCCTTGCAAAACAGGTTAAAAATACCAAATAAGGCCTCGAAAGTCATTATCATAGCTAGTTGAGGTCTATAATCTCTGCCTACCCCAGTGGCAGGTAGGCGTGGTTGTCTGTGTGTATGTAAGTTTCCGGTTTCTGGAGCATTCCCAAGCAGTCGCGCGAAACACGCGTTGCGATAAAACGGTCGATTGCTAATCTTCCTTCCTCCTGTCCGTTACTTCGCAATTCGCCGAAGGTAACAGACGGACAATAAATGCATAGTAACATAGTGTCCATTGTGCAATACTATAGAGGAACTAATTATTCTAAGTACGATCAAGAACTATTGTAACTTCTCCTTGAAAGAAAATGCAATAACGCAAAGAGACAATCGATGAAACAAACAACAAAATGAAACTATATATGTACGGTACCTATATTAACGCCTAATCTCAATAAATGAATTTCAAGCTGCAACGAGCATATAGGTCTAAACAAATATTGTACATAATACCGCCGACGGCACTATATAATCGCATATATTATTTTGCTAACTGACTCCAAAGTTCGAAAGGTCATTTCCGTCAAGAGACTACATCGCTAAAAAGCAATATCCTCGAAGAAATCAAGATTTTTAATTGTTTTAAATCCTTTAATTTACAATTTATCACCTCTTTTAAATAAAACTTTGGTATATCATATACACAGGTAGCCGTTTGACTAAATTTTTGTGTTAACTATTTCCTTGGAGTTATTAACAAATCTCATCTCTTGGTTAAAAGTTAAAACGTGACTGCGTTATGGTAATTTTAATACGCATAAGATAAAGTTGACATTAGTAACGGAGGATTTCAAACGATTGGGTAATTGATATTTGTAAATAGGTGAGGCTGGTTAGGTAACTGCCGGCTGTCGGTCAATGTCAGAAAGACACTGGCTACCAGTCGACTGACCGGCTCACCTGGACTGAACACTCGCCCTACGGACCGTAGACCAAATAACTTATTAGTTGATTAGTTTTGAGTTTTAAATACGTTCCCATAAATAACCAATTTTGTTTATTTGAAAATAATTGCTGTAAATGTACATTATCGTAATTTCTCAAGTCCGGGGTCTACTCTGAGGACAGGGTTTGGATCATGTCCAATACGCTGACTGCACACGCATGTCCGTAACTTGGAAATTAAAGTCATATGTAAATGCCGACACAGGAATTGGAAGCGTCGAACTCTAATTGAGAGGTAACTGTCGACATCTAAAGTATATTCATTATAGAATAGAAAACGACTTACATTACCTCATTTTTTTGTCGGTCGTTAAAAAAGTCGGTTGGGAAAAACTAAGTTTAATTAAAAAAAATAACATTCTCTATGATTTTTTTGATAAGATTTTAGCGGGCATTATGAAAACAGGCAAGTTTTAAGCTTAGAATTCATGACACACCCAGAACTGGTGAATGGAAAGGTGTTATTGTTTTCATCATGTTAATGCCAACAAACACATCTTTACAAAGCCGTCAAAATGTACTGCATTTAGAGCGGTTAGGTACACACGGCGACCTAATTCGCCCGACATAGTTCTTTCAGATTGTCTTTTGTTTCCACCTTTACTATTTTTATTAACGGACACGACTTTGTTAACGAAGAACCAACAAACGACATGAGCTGTGTTTAATTCTAAAATTACCCAAAAGATGGCAAAAGATTTTAAATACAATACATTACATTTACATATTTTTATTTATTACACTTTGAAACCACAAGACTATGAAAATAATTTTTCTCTGCCAAAAAAACTAAATCTGCTAAGACATAATCCCAAGTCACACAACGTATTAGTGTGTAACTTACCGTTATTGTAGCATTCATAAACAGTCACGCTAACTGTAAATCACAAAACCTAATGTTGAACCTATAGGCAGTCGACGTGTTCATTCCCACTAAATCAAAATGTAAGTCGAACATTCATTTTAAAGGTTTTGTCCATGCCTAACAACGAAATTTCCCATGCCTAAATAACGTATATCTTTCCGTGTATAGAGCTGAGTTAACATGTGAGGTGTACGAACAATTGACTCGCGATGGGAACTATGACATATGTACACATACATACATCACACTGTACACGATGTCGGTCACGACACGACATATTGCCCATAATTCAACAATGCATTTTGTAATCACGTCATTCATGTTTAGCGAATGATTGAAGGCGTACTTTAGTCCTTATTTAAAGCCTTCTGTATATAGTTCGCAGGAAGATACTCTTTGTTGCTGAGGTTTCTTTACTATGAATTACTTAATTAAGGTACACTTGACATTTTAAGAAGACAGACAACCAATTTACCTTATTTCAAATTAGGGGGTAAATTAATCCTTCCTCCTAAATCGTGGTCAGTAAGCAATAGTATCAATTTTACATCACTTATTATTTCTAGTAGAATATCTGTGCTATAACATCCTGAACCTGCATCAATCGAGTTGACAATTTTTTTTTAATGATTCCAAGCATCGATTAGATAACCAGAAATAGAGACGCAATGTCATTTAATTTGTTTGAAAACTATTCTGCCAAATCATTACGGTGAAAACTGCGCTCCGATTGAACAACCCGAATTCGAAACAATTGACGGGTGTCCTCATTTATTTCACTTCAAATCGACTAGTTTAACTTGAGCGTTGCCATAATGGACGAAAATTGAAAAATTAGGTATATATTTAATATTTAATTACCGATGAAATGTGATTCCGTTTATTTTGTAAGTAGATGTTTTGCTCTTTTTCCTGTGGGAATGGAACCACCACCACCGAATGGAACAGCCCCCCCATTGTTATAGATATTATCTTTATTACAATAAATACAGAATATTTTTGGAATATACGGAAACGTACACACAGGTCAGTTGTTGGCGTTGTACTATTTTAGCTTTCTAATTTGTGATTTCGGCGCAAACGAGTGTTGATATTCAAAAGTGATATAAGGCGAGGTGAGGTAGCATTATCTCCTTAACTCTTTCACAAAGAGCTCTACTGCTACTAAATACTATGCTACCTGCTGCTATGTCCGCGTTTGCATTGAAACATGTTCTAAACCATCAATTACAATCATTTTAGAAATGCTACAGGTAATATCAGTTCCTTCATTTTTACTTCCTGATCTGTATTTTGTGTTGTATATTTTATCGGTGTAATTTGAATTATATTATTTTCTTAAATTAATTCATCAATCAGGGGCGATGTAGGATTTTACTGATTGACAATAGAAATGTTTGGTAACAACAAATTACCTCAGAACTTTTCTCAACGTAAAATATGCTTAAATGATAAATAGGTACATAGCATATAAGTCTACGAGCAATGGCAGACAAATATTGGACTTGTTTTACCGAAGATAGCTGTAGAAAAAAATTTCTTCACGTTTGTCGAAATCGAACATTTTTAAACAATTGCAACACGTTTTACCAGGCGGTTAATGGACGCGATAGTTGTTGCTCTTGGTTTGTTCACTCCGTTCTCTTTTTATATTTTAAATATCGATCCATCACGTGTCGCCATACGACTGTAATAAGTCACGTAGTAACATAATCAATAGGGAAAAATTATTGGAAGCTGAATAATTGTATTAAGAGTAATTAAAACGGTTGCCGTTACGGCAACTACCGGCATGGCCGGTGGCGCATGCGTCTGACAGAAATTAGAAAGATATATCTAACATTGACCCACAGCTGCTGCTCGCGCTCACTGCCCACTTGAAATAACACTCCAAACTAAAACAGACGCAACGTTTTCACAATTTTGTAATAAAACACTTACATTTGATTAACACCATTCACAGCATCTCTCCGTGTAGGTATTTTAATGTACTGTAAATAAAATTATTGGTACACCAAAGATAAAATGAAGTAACTACGTGGCTACTAAAAATCAAAGTAAACATAAAATTTAAGTAGCGAAGTCAGTGGCGAATAGTAGAGATTCTCAGAAGAGACACTGGCTTGGAGAAGACACCTACAAAAATTACAAAAATTAGGCACAGAACATGACAAAAATCTGAATAAATTAAAGTAATTCTAACCCTATGGAATGGGGTTATTTTGGCACTTGATAAGCTGAAATATTTTCCAGAGACTAAAATCGAATGGAGCAACGGGATCGAGTGCGGCATCGTATGACTTATTGAAAAAAATTAGCAAAATCTCATGCGGGTGTGTCGCAGCTAAAGATGCTAAGATTTTAACATCGCATTGGCTTGTATTATGCCAAACCCGAAGCGTCGCGTGTCGATGCAACAAGAGTCACAGTGTTAAAACCACGTAAACTAATTGTCGTTCGTTCTTTCAACAGCGCCGTTCATAAAGGCGTGCTCAGCATCCGACCCGAAACTGAATCAGTGCATCGAGAAGGTAGTCCAAATCGCTGCGCCTAAGTTTGCCGAGGGCATTCCGGAGTTGGGCATCGCCCCATTGGACCCCGTGCAATTGGGCACCGTCGATGTTAAGAGCAACGCACTGAAGCTTGTCTTCACCGACACCGTCGTGACCGGCCTTCGGGGATCCAAGATTAACTCCTTTAAGTAAGTTAGTCGACAAACTATTTTTAATAAAGTTTTATTACAGATTACAGTTGTGGTTGTGGACAACATTTCCTTACTGCTTTCGAAGCAAAGTATGTTTCCACATATCTTCAGAATTTCCGAAATTTAAAGACACAGTATTTGTTATAAGCCAAAGGATGTTGCTTACTGACATTAATAGTGAACACTATACTTTTCTTAGAATCAACATCGAGAAGGGCAAAGCCACCATCGACTTCACGGCAAATGTGACCTTAAAGGCGCATTACAACATGGACGGGCAAGTGCTCATCCTTCCCATAAGAGGAAACGGCGCGGCCAAGATCAAAATCAGTGAGTACCACTAGATGCTCCATTATTACGATTATTAAACACAGGCGTGTCTTTTCACATCAAAACAGAGTCTCCTACACCTTACTCCGACTTTCCGAGATTTATCCGTGCCGATAAGGGACCACCTTGAGCTACGAGGGGTGATCCAAAAGTGATGATAATCAATATGAAATAAGGATATTTAACTAAAAAAAATATTTATTTCTCTACATAGTCTCCTAGCAAGTCAATACATTTAGTCCACCTTTTTTCTAAGCCCATAATTCCCTTTGAAAAAAATTCTTTGTCTTGACTATATGACAAAAACGCCTCTACAGCAGTCATCACCCCGCTATCGTCGTCAAATTTTTTGCCTCGAAGGTGTTCCTTGAGCCGAGAAAAGAGGTAAAAGTCACTGGGAGTCAGGTCTGGTGAATAAGGTGGGTGTTCGAGCAATTCGAATCCCGTTTCTTGAATAGCAGCCATCGCGACGGGGGCTTTGTGAGCCGGTGCGTTGTCTTAGTGAAACAACACTCCAGCTCGGAGTTTGCCTCGTCTTTTTTCTTTTATGTCCTCCCGCAATTTTCTTATTTGGTCTGCGTAGTAAGAGCCCGTAATAGTGGCTCCTTTTTCCAAATATTCCACCATTATAACTCCTTCAGCGTCCCAAAATACGGACGCCATACCTTTCCTGCCGAACTTGACATCTTCAATTTCTTCGGCGTCGGGGAAGAGGCTCGTTTCCAAGTCATTGACTGTTGTTTGTTTTCTGGATCAAAATGGTGGATCCAGGTCTCGTCCATGGTCACGAAAGGAGACAAAAAAATTTCCTGATCCATCTGGAACTTTGCGAGATTCGCCCTCGAAATGTCGATTCGTTTTTTCTTTTGTTCGTCGGTTAACTTTCTTGGCACCCAACGTGCACAGACCTTTTTCATATGCAGTTCGTTTGCAAAGATTCTTTAAACAATGCCACATGAGATCCCTGTGACCTCAGCTACGTGGCTTATGGTCACTCTTCGATCTGCCAATACGACACCTTCGACTTTTTTGACGTTTTCTGCAGTGAGGGAGGTGGATGGGTGTCTCTCGCGATGTTCATCATCTGTGGATGTTCTACCCAGCTTGAACTCCTTTGCCCAGCGCGCAACTGTAGAATATGGAGGAGCAGAGTCCCCAAATGTTTCTACTAGGTCGCTGTGTATGTCTTTGGTAGACATTTTTTTCAAACAGAGGTACTTGATGACAGCTCTGATTCCGTTTTTCTCCATTTTGATGTTTACTCTCCAACTGTTCATATTCAAATGAATGTACCTCCTGGTAATCGTGGCCTATTTACATGATTTTTTTATGCTGAATTAGTGGGTATATGAGGGAGCAAAAACAATTTTTTCATATTTTTATGTGCTCTACAAATATTCGATTATCATTATTTTGGATCACCCCTCGTACTTGGTCTGGACTTATCATCCAACCTCAACTTTGGGCGACACATCGAGTGCTTGTCAAAAACTGGTGCCAGAAAACTAGGCATACTTTACAAGGTCAGGCGGTACTTCACACCTGAACAGTTTTTAAATCTGTATAAAGCACAAGTTCGATCGTGTATGGAGTACTGCTGCTACCTTTGAGACTGCTCTGCCCATTACCAGTTAGCCGCCTTGGACTTGGTGGAGCGAAAAGCAAAAAGACTTGTGGAGTCGAAGCTACAAAATCTCGACCATCACAGAAAAGTAGCCTGCTTGTCGGTTTTCTATCGGATACATTTCGGGAAGAGTGCGCAGGAACTTTTCAATTTAGTTCCACCATCACCGTTCCTCCTTCGGTCGACTAGAAGGTCCGGAGCACTCCATTCTTATGTCGTTGATATTCCATCTAAGCACTTCCTCCTTTCTGATGCGTACGGCAAAGGAATGGAATGCTCTACCGGTTACTACTACTCTATCTGTATTTCCCGAAAAGTACAATTTGGGGCTATTCAAGGCTAGAGTGAATAGGCATTTTTAGGCAAACGCGTCCCAACGTCGGTCACATCGTCGCTTAACATCAGGTGAGATTGTGGCCAAGCGTGTGTCTATTATATATTTAAAAAAACGATCCAAACTTTTCTAAACTGAAAAATGAGACCTGTTGGCAGCTGGCGACCCAATAACCAACTCAGATAAGTACCCACAACGTATCGCTCAGCGATGCACTAAGATGTAACAAGCATGAGCAACCAAAAACTAATTTTTATTCATCAACAATATTCATTTACGACATTGCGCCAGAATAAGAACTGCGAGAATCAAATTAGAACAACGTTAAAACCTTAGTACCTACCTACTTAAACCAAGCATAGGTGCTGTCCTGTCTTAAATAATGTGTTGCGTGGAATGTTGTACGTAATGAAAACTTTTGGTTTCCAACAGCGAACTTAAACATCATAATCAAATATGACTACGAAACGAAAGATGGGCACTGGACAGTAACAGACTACAAGGACAACTACAAGATGGATCGCGCCCAGTTCAAATTCAGCAACCTATTCGGAGGCAACAAGCAGCTTGGTACGTCCACAACTTACGTAATTAATGACTACAAATGTACGTAATTAATATTATTGAGTAAAAAGTAAAGATAAGATTAGTTAGAACAAAGGATTCCTGAAGTAGATTTCTCTACCAGACTCCCAAAAAAAACCCCCGCTACTTACTTAGGTACCACAAACCAAAACATAAGGTCAAAAACATACAGAAGAGTTCAAAACCTAGCAAAATGACTCCATGCCTCAATAATTTATTCAGTGAACGGTTAAAAACACTCAAACAATATTTCCATGTATGTAAATACACAAGTACATAACTAACATCTTCCACTCGTTATTGGCAACAGCTGACACGACGAACAAGTTCGCCAACGAGAACTGGAACCTAATCATGGACGAGATCGCGCCTCCCGCCATCAAGGGCATCATCAACCACTGCGTCAAAGTCGTCAATAAGTTCTACTCCCTCGTGCCCGCCAGTGAGCTGCTCGAAGCGTGAATGGTTGGACTCTACCCAATTTATTCCAGCTTGGTCATCTTCATCGCCGCTTTAACTTATAAATTTTGACCTAACGAGTTCATCGCTTGTTTCGTTTCAGGAGTTTTACGTGAAAAATATCTGCGCAAGCTTGCTTTATTCTTTAATGGAATCATTTGAATATACATTCATCGCCACAAACATGCTAACATTACAAATACTTGTACTAACACGAATTTAATAACTGACAACATCTACTGAATTACATTTCACTTATGATTAATGGAAAAAGTATATAAGTAGCGTATTATTTACATAACGCATTATTAACATTTTGCAATCATGCAGTCACAATAACGTTCCGATAAGGAAATGTCGTTTTCTCTAGAGAACAAAATATCTTATCTCTATACCTACCATTTACAAAATTAAGATTATTGTTGTGTTCACAGCGGACACAATTGAAAAGGTGATAAACGAGAACTGGGAGCCTGTGATACGCGACATCGCGCCGGTTGCCTTCCACCACATCATAAAAGCCTGCGTCGATGAGTGCAAAAAGCTTTTTGCCGCCATACCAGCCAACCAACTAATGCTGCCTTAAAACTTGGAACTATAAACTACACAAGTACACATAATATAGACAGAAATCTCGCCAGTATTAGATTTTATCTATGCACCTAAGTCTAAGCAGGGACTGAATAACCTGAACACAAACAACATTTGGAATAATTTACATATTTCTTAAATGACGCCTAAATGTCACCTGATAGTTATTAATTTCACTATAATTTTACTGATTGATGTAAATATCTAAAGGCACTAACAACTTCAAAACTATTTTTTCTCTAAAACGATGTCTACATGTATATCATGGTATATCAGTAAATAT